ATTCCAAGTGGTCTCAGTAATGTTGTCGTGATTTCTGATATATTCTTTATGTATGGTAGGATGATGCGTTTATTGATTAGTGTCGATGACTTTGTAGTTGATGATGTACGAGATGGGCATGTTGTGATAAGGTTTCATGGGTAGCCGTTCTTCTTGAGGATGGGCATCAAGTAATTTTCTTCCTTTCTGTACGAAGTTGTTGTACTCCAGTATGTTCTCGCTCTTCTGAATAGAGTCTACACGTAACTGATCTTGTGGGTTGTTGGGTTGTTGCTACAGTAGTTGAGGACTTGGTCAGTGTGTGTTGGTTGCCTGTATACTTGGGTTTCCAACTTTCTGGAATTTATTCTACCGATTAAAACATAGAGGAATTGTAGTTGGTTGTTCGACTTCTACTTCATTGTGAAGTTGATGTCATTGAAAATGTTGTTGATCAAACTGTGAGTGTTTTCTAATGTAGAAATCTTGAACGGAGAGAGGAAACGCAAAGAATATCAGAGAATTCGTTGAAGCTTGGCATTCAGGTTAGTCAGTAATCAATAGATGGATGCATTGAGATAGACCCAATCTATCAACCAATAAGAAAAATGATGAACGACAGGGAGGTCAGAGGTGAAGCTGAGGAACAGCTTACAGGAAAATCTATGCAGTCAGTCAATGAGACAACAATCAGAGGAAACAACGAATCACAACGTAGTTGGTCAGGGCAAGCTACTGAATCGCTCGCTAATTGACTGGCGATGAGATATTGACGGCTGACTTCATAATAAAGTTAGTGGTGATGATGATATCGTCTAGAGGGAGGATGAAAGCTCCATGACTAAACAACCCACCTCAGAGAGCACAATACAACCAAGACCATCCATCCGAGCTACAAATATTCTTCACCATTTTAAATTAGCTGAAACTGTCATCATAAGGTTGATGAAACCTGAACTTTCCATTCAGAAAGATAGTCACCATTAGGAAGCTAGAGGTTACTCCTGTCTGCTTGATTTCTTTTGTTCTTTGTTCACCATCATATTATTCATCTGTATACACATATGATCCTAATACTGACTAATTTAGAAAGGAAAAATTGATTTCCTTACAGTTCCTAAATCATATTTCTCTTTGGAAATGTATTCACCTCATAGATGTCCTGTTTATACACTGTACAAATCAAGGTACTTTGAACTCTTCAACAATATACCTCATTGATGATGGATTACAGTGTAAAATTTTCTATTCAGTCAAGGGCTTACATAATTGTTCTACCATTATATAATAGTTGACAATAGAGTACAACTATAATCCAGATTTTCAATTAGGATAAGAGAAAACCTAACTTGACACTAATCAGTCGACTAATCAATTGTCCATAACATTATCAGTTTACAATTCACGTCAGCTTGATTATCAGTTACTTTCATGATTTCTTTAAGTATGAAGAATTTATGATAATGATGAGAAAGACAATAAACATTACTGATAATAATCAGGTAGGTGAAATATGCTAATTAGACAGAAAAGAATTCATTACTAACATGTGATATATTGTTATTATTACGTAATACAATGACTTTGTATTGTTATCATTATTATTCTCATTGGATTGCCAAAAATGACTTGTCAGTTATAGTATGTATTGCCATTTTCTCCTAACATATTCTTAATTGAGGGTAGTTATCTGTGATATGAGCTAACTTGTAGATATCTAAGCGATCGAGGTTATATTGCTAATTAACTTTGATGATCAGTTTCGACTAATGAGTTACTGGATCTTGATTGCCTTCAATCAATCAAGATTTCAATAGCACTTAGCACGTAATAATAGTCTGTGAATCCATGACATGCATTTCGTCTTACTTAGGGCTCATCAGTGGGATGTACCAACTTACCAATGAGATGCATACCCAGCAATCAATTGTTTAAACAGCACATCGTTAACTACTTTTTATTGGTTAGATCAAGTTTATTGTCTATTATTGCCTTAAAAGGCTTCTGTACATCACACAAAAACTGGATAACGCTTTGGTATTTGAAGCGACATGTCGTTAGCTCGAGTCCTGATGAGAACAATATTGTCATCATAATTACGAAGATTCATGCAAAAGAAAGAATATGATTATCTGATTAGGGCTACAGAGAGTGTTAACATAACAAATGCCTACATATTATCTTTATTCATACTTTGATTTTGTTCTATAGTGTCCAGTAGTGAAGATATGAGGGGGTGTGTTTCGTCCTCACTGGAATTCTTCAGTTCGAAATACCTGAAACTGGCTTGACATCTTCATCCAGATCTCATAACTTTATCCAACCAATAAGTCGGTAGACCCAGCTGATATATATATTACACAACTTACTGGAAGTTTCACTAATGTAGTGGGTTAAGATAGAGCACTGGACAGGTGTTTCGTCCCAATATGAGACTTATCAGTAATGATCACTTATGATCCTATGAGATACTGAATAGTATAAGCCAGTAATATCTCTTCTTTGTTAGTATTTTTTTGACTAACTGGTTTCAGTTTCACACTCAAATCTTCAATTTCCTGGTTCATCATGGTTAGTTTTATTATGCTGAACTTTCATGATAGTCAGGTGAAATTTAAGCTAAACTATGAGTCGACCTTCGTAACCTACAGAAGGTTGTCTACTAGTATGAATGGAAAAGAGAGAACTTAGCACAATGACAAATCCAATCCAGAACCACTTGACTAGCAATGGTCATAGGTTAAACAGCGAACACATTTTTATAGTAGGCGACAGTAAGTCACACCTACGATATGGCGGTTTGTTAAAATTCGGTAGGTGTAGTGATATTCCAACCCTCGACCTCTTAGTTGAATGCCAACTCCTTCAACCAATCATCTATAACTTTACAAATCTATAAGCTATCTATCGATTTCCAATCCTTTGTGTATTGTGTATTGCTGAGGGGGCCAACATCAAGATGAAACAGTTGTCTAATACTTTAAGGCCTTCAATTCATGATGAATATTACTTGAAAAATTGGCAAAAATTCATGTAAACCACATGATGTTTGAATATTTCATGGTATAAAATATTTTAGTTAAAAGTAAATCGTTAATATTCCAAACGAATTTCATTAGTGCGCCATAGTTTGACTCAATCTTCAAGGTCATTGATTTGTTGAATGTTCAATGGCATTTACTGTTAACTGATTATCTAATGAAAGTATAATTCTATGGTTTATAAAGGAATGATTAGTTTCATTTTAGAATTTTCTGAGAATTTTATTCACTTCAGGTTGGTCGTCCTGATATTTATCATGGAGTGAAATTAGTTTGGACAACGATTGAACATGTAATTGTACATGTGAAAATAACTTCAATCTTGTTGATACGACATGGGAAAGGGAAGTGATAGCGGAATTTAGGGGAATTGGTATCACTCGGCTATTGGTTCGTCATGTGGATGCTTTTGTCTATGTGTTATATTACCTTCTGTGTAGAATTATTTTGGTCACGCTACAGTGTCAGTCAGTCAGTCAGTTAAGTTAATAAACCTTTACAAATACATTAACTGGCTCACCTTTTTTTACCTAGGACTGTTCAGTTAACTTATACGCTACTGGCGCAACAGTCCTATGACATACAACTTATGCTACCAAGGTAACAGAGTTTGAAGACTTGAAACCTTCTCATATCTTTTACCTCTGATGGCCATGTCTTACAGGCATCTTGAAAAACACAGTGAACTGCAGCAAATTAAGCTCGATACTTAATAGGTAATCGGATGGTGAAAGTGACAGAGGCTTATTTAGAGACTTTTGTATCCGTGGCGACATTTCGTCGACTACTGGTTCGCCATGGCTGATTCAACTCTCCCTAATAGGTGGATCATCAACTCAGGTCAGTCGTGGAGCAACAGTTTTATCCGGTTGTGAAGTTGAATGTCTTAAACATTCTCAAATTGTTACTATCAGCGTCCAGAAATCTTAGATGCCCGCATTCCTTGGTTGACATAGATCTGGACTATGTGAATTTCTACTGAATTTTTGGTACATTTAAATCAATAGATCGGGACTATATTGATCTTGGTAGCTAGTAGAGGCATTTAAGACGTGGGTTTCGTCCCACTTCAGACTCGTCGGCTGATGCCAAGTGATTCGGTCCCGTATATTAAAGGGAAATTACAATTACCTTTGCGACTACTTAGAAACTCAGAAACTGAAGTTTAATTAATGCTGGTATGATGTTTTGCTTTTCCCACGCTGCATCATTTTCTCCACAGTTAAAAAACAAAACCGATGATGTAGATCCACGTTTGTGTTCCAGCGTCAATTGTCACCTCACTAATCGTGAATTTTCTATCAGCTTTAAGTTACCTTCGATAGTGTTTCTTCCACAATGTACCTTCGTCCTTCTTAGGACTCATCAGTAGCAATCAAGTGAAATTAGGCTGTTTTCTTCTCAGCTACCTAATATGACTTCACTTCACTTGAAATTACATTGGCTTGAGATAAAAAAGTTACTTGCTTCATATATTGTATCAACATAGCAACTCGTAGAAAAACCAATTCTAGTTGGGAAGTTGACTAGGAAACAGAAATAGCATTTTAGCAAATCCTTGTTGAATGAAGTGAAATTAAGTTTCTAGCTCAGCTGGGCTGGTAACCTGAAGGCTCCGTGTTCGAATCGTATCCCATTTTACCTTCAATCATCACCATCATCACTAGAGAGTAACCACTTCAACGGCACAAATAGCTCAGTGGTGACGACACTTACTACAGTATTGGTGATACGGATGTAAATCGTAATTTCAAGGTCATATGCATTTTGTGCTGGGTAACCGTTTACATAACTATCGAAGAAAGAATGTTTCGTCCTAATATAAGACTCGTCAGCAATACACCCCACCAGGGCTCGAACCCGGGACCGTCAGGTTTCACAGTCAACTGTGTTTAGTGTCTGTCTGGTTATAAGACGTATCTTTATCCTTTACTTGAAAAATAATAGTAACTTTTTAAAAAAGGGGAGGCAGTATCTTACCGGCCATGGATGTATAATTCCAATCGAATGTATACTTGCTTCCAATAATGCATAGGTGATATCTGTATTCCCCCAATGACCAGTACGTGTTTCCCCGTATATACATGAGCCATTATAACTTTCCAAACTATTCATTGAAACACTGATTGTATAAGATTCGATACAAATGCGGAATTCTAATGCACACTCAGCTTGACATACTTTTAAAGATGATGTCGGTGAAGTCACTGTTAATGATGATGATTGTCGGTGACGTCCACAACAACTTCCATCGATACGACGATGAGCATGATTATGAAACTCAAGAAATTTCAATGAAAATGTAGCTAAACGAATGGGATACTGTTGTACCGGCTGTTGCTGTTGATGATGTGTATCTGTTAATTGGGTGGATTCAATGTACAACAGGGTCATCACAATAAGAAGCTGAATGTAATTGACTGAATACGATAATTCCATTATATTGAAAGAAATATTTTTTGAATTAATGAAAGCAATCTTTGCTCTTAGTTACCATTTTAAAACTAAGGTTTCCTATTTTTCTCAAATGTAGTTTAAAGGAAACACCCCTCTTTTTTTAATAGTTGGATAAATAGGAAAAGTTGTCGTGAATCGACCAATCAGAAACTAGCTGAATTCTGATTGGTTTCTTCCTTCTCAATTGGCGCGTTCGTGGGGGTAATAAATCCAACTATCCAGGATACAGAATAAATGTGTCTATAGACACATTCATGCTGAACACGAGGTTTGTTTTACCATGGAACCAACCTAATGAAGCCTATTTTCAAGCAGTATAATGAAGATAATTGACTTATCATATAAGGGAAATGATTATTTAAAAAGAAGAGTATAGATTTTAAGACGATATTATCACACTGCAGTGTTAGAAGCGATAGACCTTGGGTTCGAGTCTCAGTGGGAACACTAAATCTCAATGGGATGCTAACATATCCAGTGGCTGAATTTGGTGGGATAAGTTGGTCACCGGAAGGAGGTTGCTTGAATGGCATGGCCTAAGTTTCGCGCTTGTTGGCACTTGTCAGCAAGGTGCATTTGCAACCTCGACGGAAGTGATGTCCTACCTGAGATTCAAACCACGTCACACAGTGCTAGACAATATGAAGTTGCTTACCCTCCAGTAACAGGAGGTCATTCGTGGTCTGAATAGGTCAGTGAGAGACATAAGTTCGAGTCTCAGCCAGAGCATCAGTCCCATCAGAGTTGTAGGCACACTCTACTGATGAGTACCGAAAAGTACTAAGCGCAGGCCAAGATTCGTCCAACTAACAGACCTCTAAGTAGTAGTAGTATTTTTCGTTGGCTCATGCCACTTTTGTATCAGAGATCACATCTTATAATCTTCGTTGGGTGGTTTCCAACGGGAATCCTGTTGACTGGAAACATAGTTGGGTACTTAAAAGACTACTCAGTTGTGAGAAATGAGTCATTCACTTTGTAAGTCATTTTCAAGTTGGTCCTCTAGTCGCTTTATGGAACTTCTTGTTTTTTTCATGCCAAAATTGTATGTTGTAGTAAAAGGCTTTTCTGTTCAATAAGTTGTTGTATAAACGGCTGATGAAGCCACATTTCAAACACGAACGGTATCTTCTTTGTTTGCAAGAGAAACTCCAACTCTGGAATAGCCCATATGTAGAAGGAAACGCCAATAAAAATTAAGAACTTCTATGAATCTGACAAGAAACCTGCCTTCTTTCTCAATGTTGGTTTCAAAGGTGATGATGCTTCTGAGAGACGGCTGATTACGTAATGTGTGCTGCATTAATGAAGCCTGACTTGTCCAGTTGGTAGTTTACTCGCTCCCCACTAAATGAGTCACTCAGTAAGACAATCTAAAGTTGACAGGTCACTTTCTCGTCTTGTCCTCACTTCAATAGACCGTTTCACATGTACAGCAGAAAGGAGATACTTTGGAAGAATGGGCGACTGGATTTGTGGTTGGACAACTCAGTATATCCAGTGGAGTTGGCTACTGAAGGAATACGAGTCTTATTCTATTACTTAACTTCAACCTATACTGATGGATGTTTGCTGATTGCGGCAATCGATGGAAGGCTGTTGACCTCCAAGCAACTCATATCCATCAAAGTACACTGCGTTTCTGAGCCTCCTAGGTTGTTGCACACAGTGCAAAATCATCGATAGAATTCGATCAGCGCTTAGGATTAGACAGTGCGAAATTGGTTCCTCTCCCATGACAAATCAATGGATGAAACACAGTCCTACAGGAGGATACTTGCGGCCCCAAAAAGCTCGGTGGTAACATCGCTGACTAGTTGCACTGAGTGACGCAAGTTCGAATTTGAGACGGGATGTCAGTTCCATCGAGGTTGCAGATACGCTCTGCTGATGAGTACCAGAAGGTACGAAACCGAGGTCAAGACGAAAACTTTCGATCAGTTCGATTCAAGTGTGTGAACCTTTTCATTCGTTCTCGTATTAGTGCCCCCTTAGATTGTTGGCAGCTGATGAGAAACTCTGAAATCACATAAATTCATGGCATTCTGCTAAGATCGTCTTCCTTACTCTACTTTAATTCATCACTACCATTATTAAACATTCAGTATTAATATGAGATTGCTCAAACTTGTTAACTGATTACTCTCCCTAGTGTTCACAATTATTATTATTTGTTCCTTGGGTTCCTAGTGGAAAATAGGGCTTCACTGCCACGTCTCCATTCCACTCTCTTCTCTGCAATCTTTTCAGTTTGGCTCAACAACTGCCCACAAGCTCTCATTTCCTCTTCACACCATCTCCTCCATGTCACCCTCACCTCGGACGCCCAACTCGACGTCTTCTGTGCGGGTTCCACTCGACGGTCTGGCCTAACCTGACCTGGTCTGGTGCGTGATGTCCCCACTCGGCCTTCTCAGTGTATGCCCAATCCATCTCCACTTCCACTTCATTCTGCATATTTATCGAGGGATGGGTTCTTGGTTGGTTGGTTGGTGTAGTCAGTTGTTGATGAATGTCTGTAGTTTGTTGGAAATCCCTTTGTAACTCGCCAAGTCTCTAAACCATACACGAGCACTGATTTGACGTTGGTGTTGAAATCCGCATCTTGTTCCGCATGCTGAGTGCAGATGTCCACACTGGTTTCAGGCTATTGAACACCTGTCTTGCTTTTCCAATTCTGACTTTGACTTCCTCATCTGTGCCACCTGTAGTTGAAACAGTGCTGCCTAGATAGGTGAAAGTGGCTACTTTTTTTTTAAGTTTCTGTCGTTGATGGTGATTGGAGCTTGTTGTTGTTGTTGTTTTTGTCTTCGCTGCCTCGCCTCTTCTGTCAACTTGTTAGTTTTCGCCTGTAGATCATCAAGTTTGTGTAACATCAGACATAAGTAATCGACGGCGAAACCCAAGTCTTCTAGGTTCTTTTCCGCGGTCTAGCATATGCCCCTCTTCTCACTCTCCACTGTATGTTGTATGATCAGTCGACCACAATCACGAATATCATGAGTGATAGTAGACAGCAGCCTTGTTTTACTCCTTCCTCTCTTCACTTCAAAAGCATCACTGAGCTTCCCATTGTGAATTACTTGGCATCTAGTGTCTTCACTATTCACGATCACGTAATCTATTTTGAATACATTCCATCTTTATCATCAGTCTAAGTATCACTTCTTGCCTTTTTCCACTTAACACTTATCATAAGTCATTCATCATCATGTTATGAATAGATTTATATCACAAACATCATTATAATTGCATAATAGACTGGTTAGTGGTCATACTTTACTCCTTCAATAAAGGTTATCATAGTTCATTGGCAGATATGCAGTGGAACACATGAGACAGACAGATAGACAGACAGACAGGTAGTAAAGTAGGCAGGCCTGCAGACAGGCACACTGACGGACAGACAGGCAGAAAAACAAACATATATATATATATATATATATATATATATATATATATATATATATATATTACGGGAAATTAACCCAGAGCCATTCGATTTCGTGCCGAGTATTTTACCACATTTTCCTATTTCTATCAAATCGCTATGTAGGAAGAATATTATCCAATGATCATTTCTAGACCTGAATTTTCTGGATCTGATGCATGATAGGATCATGGATACGTGATGCTGAGGAGTATTATTATTATTATTATTTCCTTGGATTCCTAGTGGAATATAGGGCTTCAGTAGCAACTCTTTAGTTCACTCTGTTCTCTACAGTCTTCCTAACCTGGCTCCATGACTCCCTACAAACTTTCATTTCTTTCTTACATGATCTCCATCATGTCACTCTCAGACGCCAAACTTGTCATTTCCCCGTGAGGGTTCCACTCGAGGGACTGGCTTGGTGATAAGTTGGTGGTTGTTCTGTTGTCATACCAGACTTCCTTGTTGCTTATTCTTATTATTCTCGCCATCTCGTCTTCAGTATCCAGTGTAGGCGGCAGCTGTTGATGAATGTTTGTAGTTTGTTGGAAATGCTTTTCGTGATGCGCCGACTTTCTGAACCATCACATAGAACCACTGACTTGACTGACATTGGTGCTGAAAATCCAGATGTTGTTGACGCCCTATGTTGAGTGCAGTGGGTCTCCATACTGATTTCAGGTTGGTGAAGAAAGGCCTATCTTGGTGTTTTTCCGATCCTGGCTTTGACGTCCTCATCTGTGCCACCGCCGCCGCCTGTAGTTGAAACGATGCTGCCTAGGTAGGTGGATGAAACAGACAACGTCCTTTAGGCTTCTCCCGTTGATGGTGCTTGTTGTTGTTGGTCGGGTATCTTCATCACCTCCATCTTCTCTACGTTCACCTGAAGGAAGACCCATCTTCCGTCACTGCCTTGCCTCGTCTCTTCTGCCGACTTGTTAGTTTTCGCCTGTTGATTTTCGAGTTTGTGCGACAAGACATTAGATATACATGATTATTGGCGAAATCGAAATCTTCTAGGGCCTTTTCATAGGTCGAGCCAGAGTATGCCCATCTTCTCGCCCCTCACCGTTTGCTGCATGATCCAGTTGACCACAATCCGGAAGATCATCGGAGAGGATAGTAGGCAGCAACCTTGTCTTACTTCTTTCCCCTGTCTTCACTTCAGAGGCACAACTGAGCTTTCCACTGTGAATTACTCTGCCTTTCGTCGTCTTCATATAGCTATTGAATGAGGTTGATAAAGGCTTGTGGTACGCCGTAGTGTTGAAGCAGTTTCCAAATTACTTCTTGGTCTATGTTGTCAAAGGCCTTTTCAAGATCGATGAAGTTAAAGATCCAGTTGACTGATAATCTATGCTCTGTCCTATGGTGATGCGTAGCGCTGCAATTTGATCCTGAATCCATCCTGTTCCTGTCGTAATTTTGTACCCAGGGCATTTTTTAGTCTCTCTAGGATGATGCGGCTTAATATTTTACTTGGGTGGACAGGAGCATGATTCCGAACCAGTTCCTGCAAAGACTTAGGTCTCCCTTCTTCGGGAGTTTG